AGAGGCCATTAACCAGTAGAATTCAACCACTGAATTGGACGCCAAGTGACAACATCAGTCAAAATATCATTATGCAATAAAAGTCTCTTTAACCAACCAGTAGCCTTATTTTTGCTGTATGTGTGTAATACACAGACCATTCCGAATACCCGCGCTCTCTAAATCTCTTCAGAAAGAAAAAAAGGCTTACTTAGGCAAACAAATTTAATTTTTTTACCCCATGCAAAGAGTTGTCAGAGCAATCGTTCTTCCTTCTCTTATTTTTATCATAACTTTTCAACTCCCCAAACTGGAAAAAAAAAGATTTATAACTTTCATTATTTCAGGCACAGAGAGACACCGGTGCTGACCTCAGCTTCTTAATGCTGAGGTCGTTCATCACATGCGGCTGATGGGATATTTATTTAGATCGGGGTTTTACATGTCAGTCATAAAATATGGAAATGCTTGCCAAGTTGATTTTTTTTTTTTTAAGATTCGAGGGAGTTTTGTCATTGTGTTTGCCTGCTTTTTGAGAGATCCTTCAGATCTAATTCCCGAAGTTCTCTCTTCTGTTTTGAATATCAGAATGCTTATTCGCCGTTATTTTTTTTTTCCTGTGAAAACAAAAACGAAAATGAAAATTATACTGAGGGGAGCTAACAGCTTTTTAAAAAATAAACACTGTTGTTAAAAAATCAGTGCTAAAAGAGTAAGTTAGCAATTATTCGATAGGAATACAGAAGTCAAAATTCTGTTTTCTTATTTTCTAATTCTTTTCTTTTTCCATTTTTTTAATAGCAACTTCCCATGTTTCATGGAGAAATGAATATTGGGACATAAACGGGGTATTCTTAAGCTTTGCTCTATTATGGAGGGAAGTTCAGAAGTTAAGGCTGGAATCACACAGCTGTGATCTAATTTGTTGCACAAACAAATTAGCTTGTACAAACTAGCCAACGTTTGTGGCTTACTTAAAAAAGGAGTCAGCAAAATTGCAACTTGGTGCAATGTGCACATCCACCCAGTTGTAAAACGAAGTTGGGAGATGGGAGTCAACAGTTTATTCACTGACTTGGTGTTCAGATTTCTTTTGTGAGGTTGTGGTTTCCTTGTTCTTTTAAAACTTCTACAGGGGAAGATTTGTTCTTTTATTTGAAGAGGGTTATTTTTTGTTGTTTCAGAAGCTGATGACGGTGTCCTTGAAGAAAAATCTGCAGCTGGCAGAGATCCAGATGTTTGGCATGTTGGCCTGAAAGTTGCTTGGGATATAGAGACACCAGGCTTAGCAATTCCACTTCATCAGGGAGACTGTTACTTTATGCTTGGTAAGTTCAAACACAAAGTTGATGTTCTATTCTATTCTATTCTATTCTATTCTATTCTATTCTATTCTATTCTATTCTATTCTATTCTATTCTATCATGATTCTATTCTATTCTATTCTATCATGATTCTATTCTATTCTATTATGATTCTATTCTATTCTATCATGATTCTATTCTATTCTATCATGATTCTATTCTGTTCTGTTCTATTCTATTCTATCATGATTCTATTCTATTCTATCATGATTCTATTCTATTCTATTCTATTCTATTCTATATTCCAATATCTATTCTATTCTATTTGATTTGATTCCTGTTCTGATTCTATTCCTGTTCTGATTCTATTCTATTCTATTCTATTCTATTCTACTCTACTCTACTCTACTCTACTCTACTCTACTCTACTCTATTCTATATTCTATTCCAGTGACGGCGAACCTTTTAGAGACCGAGTGCCCAAATTGCAACCTGAAACCCACTTATTTATCGCTGGGTGCCAGGTGGGTGTGGCTCACTGGGTGGGCGTGGCTGTGGTGGTCATGGCAGATTGGGTGGGTGTGGACAAGGTAGGCATGATCACCTCGATGTTGCTCATGGGGGGGACACCTGTGGGGGCCAGGCAGGGTTGGGGGAGATCCAGGGGGTCTCTGGCAGGTGGGGCGGTGGGCAGGAGGCTCGTCCTGCTGGGTGAGGCGAGGCAAGGCGAAGCAGGGCAGGGATGCCATTGTCACAGGGCAAGGTGAGGCCAGGGCGGCTGCTGCCTGACACCATCGGCCCCTGCACACAGAAGCCAGCGAGCGCATGGGTGCTGGGATGCATCCGGCCATGTGGGACCTCGGTGAGTTAGTGGGCGGCTGGTTGAAGAGGGACAGTTGCCATCTTCGGGGCATGGCGTGTGTGCCCACAGAGAGGGCTCTGAGTGCCGCCTCTGGCGCCCTTGCCATAGGTTCGCCATCACTGTTGTAGTCTAGTCTAGTCTAGTCTAGTCTAGTCTAGTCTAGTCTAGTCTAGTCTTTTAATGATCTAAGGAGAAATTTCCTGACAGTGAGAACAATTAATCAGTGGAACAGCCTGCCTCCAGAAATCGTGGGTGTTCCATCACTGGAGGTTTTTAAGAAGAAATTGGACAACCATCTGTCTGAAATGGTATAGGGTCTCCTGCTTGAGCAAGGGGTTGGATTAGAAGACCTCCAAGGTCCCTTCCAACTCTATTGTTCTGTTATTCCTGGGCCTTTCATGGAAAAACAGGGACTATGACCCAACTTTAATTATGGTCAAAAAGTGGGCATATTGTATATTTCAACCCTCCAGAGATAAATATTATTGCTACGCAGTGAATGGTTTATTGATGTTTAGCTTAGTGTTTTTGGCGCATCGACCAAGTGATGACTTGCAAACTGTGCTTTATGGTTTAGCAACCCACTGCGGTTAATCACACGATGGGCTTGCACAATATTTAAAGCTGTACTTAAATGATATTTCCTCCACTTCTAGAACAAGGAGAGTTTTTCTGTGGGTGAATGAGGGGATGGGATCAAAGTTGGGAGAAAATAGCCAGAGTTTCCCCTAAGACCATTAGCTGTGTTTTTGCCATAAATTATGATGCTAAGCAAAATGACTTGCACCAGAAAAAAATGTGCATTGCACAAATACACAGTATATTATGCATGCAAATTATAACTGTATTCTGCATCATAGCTTGGCCCCTTGAGGAAAAATCCTGCCTAGATCATACAGTGTAACTTATCCCAGCACTAAGTGTCAGTTGTTGCATAAGGCATAATAATAATAATAATAATAACAACAACAACAACAACAACAACAACAACAACAACAACTTGGCAGTGGCTGGAGACAGCAGAATAGACAAGAAAGAACTGGAGAAGATAACAAAATACAAAGACCTACAAATAGAAATAGAAAGACTGTGGCAAAGGCAAGCAAGGGTAGTACCAATAGTAATAGGCGCCTTGGGTGCAATCCCAAAACAACAGGAGCACCACTTGAACACCATTGGCATTGACAAATTTGCTATTAGTCAATTGCAAAAGGCGGCCTTACTAGGAACTGCTTCCATCCTGGGATGATACCTGTAATACCATCAAACATCCACATCTGCCTATCCCAGGTCCTTGGTAAGGACTCAATAGGTAGACCAAAATGCCAAATCCAGTCTGAACATCTGGCTGACTGTGCGATGATCAATAATAATAATAATAATAATAATAATAATAATAATAATAATAATAATAATAATAATAATAATAATAATAATAAAGTTGGAAGGGACCTTGGAAGCAAAATACATGTCGGGCCTGTTGAAGCCACAGCTGTTTCTTATAGATCAAAGGGTTGCTGGAAGGTTAGGGGCTTAAACGCAGCTGGGGGATAAATTCAACCGGGCCTCCCTTTGGTGGGGAGTAAGACGGAGTAAGCATCCTCAGAGGCCTGAGTGAGTTAGACTTCAAGGCACAGCCAAAACTTTCCTCCCCGTTAACCAGAAACGGGGAGCACCTTTGAGTGGAGTTGATGGGTGGTTGGAAAATTACAGGCTTAAACCGGAGAAACCTCTTTGGTACGGCTGCCTTCCAGCGGGTTGACTTCGGAAACCTGACCCCATTTTTGAGCCTGCGTACCCCCTGCATCTATTTTTTTTTCAAGCAGCCCCCCCGACCCCCCCCGAAATGTATTTATTGCCACTCAGACTTTGATCTTGTGAGTTTTCTAAGCTTACAACGGTCTTCTTCCGTTTTCCGTTGATTAATTACGCGAAGTTTCTCTCCTTCTCCCCCCCCCTTCCCCATGCTCGGTTCTCTTAAATGTGCCTCTTCTGGCAACTGTAGAATAATTTCTTATTTTAGGGGCTTTTAGGAGTATTGACTTTTTTTTTTTTGCAATAAAGAAGAGATAGTTTTGCAATAATGATTCTCGACGTGAGACGTTGGCTAAGTGAGCTTTGCCCCACGTTGTGACTTTTCTTGCCACCGTTGTTACTGCAAGGGAATCACTGCAGTTGTTAATAGTTGTTAGATAGTCCTCGACTTACGAACACAACTGAGCCCAATTGTTGCTAAGTGAGACGGTTGTTAGGTGTAATTTTGGTCCATCTGATGACCTTCCTTGCTGAAGTTGTTAAGTGAATCCCTGCCGTTGTTAAATTAGTAACAGGGTTGTTGACTGAATCTGGCATCCCCCCGTTGACTTTGCCTGTCAGAAGGTCATAAAAGGGGATCTCGTGACCCTCCTGGGACGCTGTGACTGTTATAAGTACGAGTCAGTTGCCAAGTGTCTGAATTTGGATCACGTGACCGTGGGGGATGCTGCAACAGTCGTAAGGGTGAAAAACGGTCCTTTTTTTCAGTGCCGTTGTAACATTGAACGGTCACTAAATGAACTGTTGCAACTTGAGGACTAGCTGTATTCCCAGAAACAGCCTCTACCTTGGAATGGAATGGAATGGAACAGAATATAGGATAGGATAGGATAGAATAGAAAATATGGAATAGAATAGAGTAGAGTAGAGTAGAGTAGAGTAGAGTAGAGTAGAGTAGAGTAGAGTATTATTATTATTAATTATTATTATTATTAATTATTATTATTATTATTAATTTAATTTATATACCGCCCTTCTCCCGCAGGACTCAGGGCGGTATATAAATTAGTAGAGTAGAGTAGAATAGAATAGTATAGAATAGAGGACAGGATAGAATAGAATAGAATAGAATAGAATAGAATAGAATAGAATAGAATAGAATAGAATAGAATAGAATACAGGACAGGACAGGATAGGATAGGATAGGATAGAAAATATAGAATAGAATAGAATAGAATAGAGGATAGGATGGAATAGAATAGAATAGAATAGAATAGAATAGAATAGAATAGAATAGAATAGAATAGAATAGAATAGAATATGAAATTGGAAGGGACTTTGGAGGTCTTCTAGTGCAGCCCCCTGCTCAGGCAGGAGGACCTGTACCATTTCAGACAAGTGGCTGTCTACCCTCTTCTTGAAAACCTCCAGTGATGGAGACACCCACGATTTCTGGTGGCAAGCTATTCCACTGGTTAATTGTCCTCACTGTCAGGAAGTTTCTCCTTAATTCCAGGTTGCTTCTCCCTTTGGTCATTGGCGATCGGGTGACCTCAGGATCCTCAACTTTCATAAATAGCACCCGAATTTTGATCAGGTGACTGTGGGGAGGCTGCAACGGTCATAATTGCGAGGATCCCTTTTCTTCTAATTTCCTTAAGCTCTCTTCAGGGTTGAATACTTACCTGTACTTCAATGGTCTTTTCCTAGATGACCTGAATATGACTCACCAACATTGTGTGCTGGCTGGCCGGCAGTCAAGATTCAGCTCTACACACCGAGTGGCAGAAGTGAGTAACAAAACTGTGGGAACGACTATTGAGGGCTGAGAACTTGGACACAGCAACTAAAGATAATCCTGAAAAGTGCAGGGACAAATTCACCCTGTTCTTTGCAGCAATGCATAAGAAACCTATTGTCCTTTCCTGGTTGTTGTTGTTTTTTTTTTAATTTGCTTTTTAACTCCCTCCTACAGTCTGAGTTGCTAAGATTTTTTTTTTCATACAGGGAAGCCCCCTATTTATGACCAGAACTGGAACTAGAATTTCCATGGCCACAAGTCGGCAACCTGCGGCTCTGGAGCCGCATGTGGCTCTTTGAGCCTTCCCCTGTGACTCCCAGCCTCCTCTGCCATTTGCAGAGAGAGACAGAGATAGAGAGAGTCACTTGCGCTTCCCTGCTTCTCTCTCTCTCTCTCTCTCTCTGTGTCTGTCTGTCTGTCTGTCTGTCTGTCTGTCTGTCTCTCTCTCTCTCTCTCTCTGTGTGTGTGTGTGTGTGTGTGTGTGTGTGTGTGTGTGTGTGTGTGTGTGTGTAAAAGAGAGTGGACTCACGGTGTTCTCCGACAAGCTGAAAAGCTTTTGGGGCAGGGCTCCTCCCTTTGCTGCATCTCTGCAGGAAGCAGGAAGGGCAGGAGAGAGCTAGCTAGCCCAGCTATGCTGACTCAGGAATTCTGGGAGTTGAAGTCCATGAGTCATAAAAGAGTCCAGGTTGCCTATCCCTGAGCTTGTTGGAGAACAGCTTGAAGCCAGCTTGCCAGGTGAGCAGAAGATCGGAGAGAGGGGGGGAGAGAGAGGGAGAGAAAGAGAGAGAGAGAGAGAGAGGGAGAGAGAGAGGAAAGGAGGGAGGGAGAGGAAAGAGAGAGAGAGAAAGAAAGAGAGTGGGGGAAGAGGACTGGCAGACCAAGGGCAGAAAGAAAGAGAGGGAGGGAGGGAGGGAGAGAGAGAGAGAGAGAGAAAGAGAGACCCTTTTGACATCTAAAATGAAGATAACACTGCATATATCCTTTTTTTAACCTTTATGAGTGTTTTGTTTTTGGTGGGAAATGGGTCCAAGTGGCTCTTTGAGTGTTTTGGGTTGTGTACCCCTGTCCATGGCTAAGCAAGGCAGTTATTGAGCGAGCTGCGCCTGGTTTTATGACTTTCTGCCACCGTCGTTTGAATCACCATGGTTAAGGGAATCAAACAATTGTTAAACGAGCCATTGTAGTTAATCAAGGAGTTGTTAAGCGAATCTGACTTCCCCCATTAATGTGGCTTGTCGGACGTTAAGTGAGGAGGTCACAAATGATATTCGTATGACCTGGGATGCCGCACCGTCGCATATTCAGGTAGTGCTCAACCTAACGAGCACAGCTGAGCCCAAAGTTTCTGTTGTTAAGTGAGACATTTGTTAAAGGACTTGTGCCCCCATTTTACAACCTTTCTTGCCTCAGTTGTTAAGGGAATCACTGCAGTTGATAAGTTAGTAACCTGGTTGTTAAGTGAAACACGATTCAAGTGTGTTGTTTAAGAAAACACAACACATACAAACAAGTCTAGTAGGTATAGAAGAGCAGGCAGAGCTGGAGGGTGGAGTTATATGAGTCATTAGCCTTGAGTCATTACATGGCCACAAATGATCGAAGTCCAACCCCTCTTGAATTATGTTGATCCTTATCTGGAGCTAATATTGAATTTTAGTTGACTAGATTCTTGTGCATAGGCTGGAGCAATAAATCTTCTTAATTGCAACTTAATGTAGGGTCCTGATTCTTTGCCCTTGACCTTAGAAGAACCAATAGTTCAAATACTCTCTGAATTCATGGATAGGACTTGTACTGATGTGGGCTTAGTTTACATTTGATTCATTTAACAGTGGTTTGTTGAGTAGCCCTTGGTGAGTTGTGAAGGAAGTTATCCTTTTATAAACTGTAGGAATATAATTGTAGAAATGTAATGCCATTATATGAGACTGTCTATTTGGCACAAATGTAGCACTGTAACGCAAATGTAGCAATGCACTGCCAAATGTGTGAGAAGGTCTGTCTACTGCTTCCTGCCTATGTAAAGTGACCACAAAAAGTAATCAGCAAAGACAATGAATTATGACCTACTTGAGTAGAGGTTACAAATAAACAAAGATAAGACCACAGGATGGAGGGAAATTGCCAGGATGACCTTTTTAAATGTAAAGCAACTTCAAAGAATGTAGAGAAGGAGAGATGGGAGGGTGTCTTAGGCATGACTGCACTGTAAAAGGTATAAATTGTATGGCTTGGAAACTGCTTGTGGCGCTCCTGGAACCCAATCCATTGGGAAAGGTCCAGGAGGCCGCGTTTACAAATGCCTTTCTTTTCTTCTCTTTTCTTTTTATTCTTTTTATGTTTTTCTCCAATAAAACTTTGTATTGTTAACCAGACTTGTCTTCGTATTGTGAGTATCAAAGTTTGGGTTTTTTATATCTCACAGTTGTAAGTGATGGTTTAGAGCAGTGATGGCGAACCTTTTAGAGACCGAGTGCCCAAACTGCAACCCATAACCCACTTATGCATCGTCGGATGCCAGGTGGGTGTGGTCCATTGGGTGGGTGTGGCCCATTGGGTGGGCGTGGCTACAGTGTAACAGCAGACTGGGTGGGACTAAAAAGTTCAATCAATCAATTACAACTTTGCGAGATCTTTTTTTCCCCGCGAGAAGTTGAAATTGACTGATTGATTGAACCTCTTTTTTTTTTGCACACGGCGGCGGAGGCCTAAAGCGAAAAGGTTTTATAAAACCCAGCTGAAGGCCTAGGACTGGGGCGACGACGCGCGTGCCCACAGAGAGGGCTCTGAGTGCCGCCTCTGGCACCCGTGCCATAGGTTCGCCACCACTGGTTCTCAGGGACCCACTAAATTATAACAGGATTTACTTGGCTTTGACTTCCGGTTGTGGTAAAATCACACTCGTTTTTTTTTCTAACACTAACTTTCTTTCTCTTGTTCGTCAATCCCAACAGTGCTCAACGGGGACCTTGCCATACATTCTGGACAAATGCAAGGCAGCGCTGGAGAATTTGAGCACCGATCTTGATTCGAAGGGCCCGTCCCTGAAATCATTGGAGATCGGAGATATAACGCGGGTGGAAAAAACTCACAGTGAGGTAAGAAGACCCTTCCCCACCGTTAAGACGTCGACAATCTTTTCGTGTCCTTAACAAGGAAAGAGAGACCAAAATGAGACATACTCTAGTAAGTAGTCGGAAGAAAAATCCAGAGGAGCGTCCGTAAATCGGAGGTCTTACCGTTCCGGAGTCCCACGACGATATCCAATTGTCTACTTAATATCGTGTAGATTTCCATCTTGTCTCCTTGTTTTTTTTTACAAGATTCTTAACATAACTGCATCCCCAGAAGCATTTCAGGGTATCTTCTTGGTTCTTTTTCTTGTGACCCCAAAATACGGAAGGAAGGAAGGAAGGAAGGAAGGAAGGAAGGAAGGAAGGAAGGAAGGAAGGAAGGGAAGGGAAGGAAGGAGTACAGGAAGGAAGGAAAGAAAGGAGGGGGAGGGAGGAAGCAAGAAAGGGAGGAAACAATGAGGGAGGGAGGGCAAAAGGAAGGATGAAGAGAAGGAAAAGGAAAGAAGGAAGGAAGGAGTACAGGGAGGAATGATAAAGGGAAGGGAAGGAAGGGAGGAAATGAAGGAAGGGAGGGAGGGCAAAAGGAAGGATGAAGGGAAGGAAGGAAGGAAGGAAGGAAGGAAAGAAGGAAGGTCTTCAGTGACCTCCTCCAGCTTCAGATCTTCTCCAGCTACCTTAGGGCGACACCCTGCAGCACCCCGAACTCTGAGTATTCTGGAAGTTATATCCTCGCACATCTGGATGGCGCAGAATTGAGGAAGCTGCTCTGGAGGCTTTGATCTCTAAGCCTAGTTTCATCAAAGAGGCAGTATAAATCACCCTCAGCTGCCCACCTGGCTTTAGTTGACTGGGAAATGTTAAGTAGGACTGGATTCTTGGCAAAAAGGATGAATCTGAGAACAGATTTTCAGGCCCAGGATGTGAAGTTTTTTTTTAGAGTGTACAAATTACTTTAGGATAATGGAGGTAGTTTGGCTGTTTGCTGATCCAGAGAGCCTTGGATTTCAGATTTTGGTTATTAAAAAAAAAAAAAAAGAACAGCCCCTGATTTTCTTTCAGGTACGTGTGCTTCTGTGATTCACTCCCACGGTGACCCGTGGCCTAAAACTCTGTCTCTCTAGAGGACTTTCCAAATGAATAAAAGCTTCATCATTAGAGTCTGTGGGTTGCTTTTTCTATTTCTGGATCTTTCTTGATCTGGTATCTTCTTAAATGTATTGACTGAGGACGAGAGGAGCTGCAGTTTATCACTGGCCCACTTGATTGAGGAAAGCTGTAGTAGTTATTGCTGGTTGCTTGTAAAACCAGGAAATTGTGATCCTCTGCACTACTCAACTGAGCAGTGAAAAGAGGATTGATACTTTTCTGTATCTCTCCCACAGCCACAGTGTTCCTATTCCCCCACTCCCACCAACACTGACAGGGCAAACCACTTGTACATAAATCGAGAGCAACTCCACTCCCTTCTAACACTGATGAAGTTACCTAGTAGGGTCATTAAATGTCTGCAAAGAAACAACCAAGCTCAGAAAGCATGAAGGACCCCCCTCCTACTCCTCCACAAACCCCAATTCCCTTCTAGCACTGATGATGTTACCTAGTTGGGTAATGAAATGTCTGCAAGGAAACAACCAAACTCAGCACCAAGGACCCCACAGTCCTCCTCCTCCTCCTCCTCCTCCCCTCTCCACAAACCCCAATTCCCTTCTAGCACTGATGATGTTACTTAGTTGGGTCATAAAACGTGCTAGAAAACAAAGTGGGTGGTAGGCGTAGGAAACTAGATGCAAAATTTCTAGGGGAAAAGCGTAGAATGAATGACTTTTTTTGTTAGGGTTAATTCCTGGCATATATTTTTGTTCCTTTTTTCCCCATGGAAATCAAGACCAATAATAGCAATAGCCCTTAGACTTATATACCGCTTCACAGTGCTTTTACAGCCCTCTCTAAGCGGTTTACAGAGTCAGTCTATTGCCCCCTCCCAACAATTTGGGTCCTCATTTTACCGACTTCGGAAGGATGGAAAGCTGAGTCAACCCTTGAGCCGGTCAGGATCGAACTCCTGGAGTGAGCAGTAAGTTAGCCTGCAGTACTGCATCCTAACCACTGCTCCACCACAGCTCATAATGTGTTTAAATAATGTGCTTATGGTTGGAAATTACGTAATAAGCATCATCAGGCTTTCACTGGAGAGCTGGGAGGGGGGGAAAGCTTGCAACCAACTCACCGTGTCTTCACCTAAGGCTACTTGAAGGTGTTCAACTAAGCTGTTTCTACCTATCCACACCAGGTGTGGTGGCTCTACCTTTAGGTAGGTAGATGCTGGAATGATGTGCTCACCACATCAACTCCCTTACGCTAATCTTAGAAGACGCTGTCTCATCGAAAGTCTGGAAGCAAAGTTCAACCACCAGCTTGTTTGCATCCCGCATGCAAAATAGGACACGTTGCTTGTTCGCTGAGATTGACTTGGATTCTGAAATCAACACAGGCTGCCAAGGTGTTCCCAGTGCCAACAGTTAGGCTGCTGCTGCCAAGCGCATCGGTGTCTAAGGCTAAAGTGTGTTTCCTGCGCAGTGCAACTCAGCCGGTGGTCCTGCTGGCCTCGAAGAGAGGAAGCACACAGATCACTACCTAGGGTGGCATTTAATAAGCCAAGGGCCTTTAAATAATTAACCGAGGACCGACACCACCCTTGGCTCACCAAATGTCAGCCAAACAGCTCCGTGGCCTTTCTCCCGTGCCTTATTGACCGTCGCTCTTAAAGCGCGCCTTTCATAACGGCTTAAAGGGCGAACGGAGAGGGGTGGGTGTGACAACCGAGGTAGAATCATTGCTGCAAGCAGTGGAAGATCAAGACCAAAAAACAAAAACAAAATCATGCGCGTTTGTATATCGTTCTGCTTTGACAGCGCACGCTGCGATGGCTGCCATTTTTTGCCTTAAATGGTTTTTTTTTCATTGCAACAATGAAAAAAAGTAAAAATTAGCACACACTCTGGGAACTATTAAGGAGGAGCTGTCTTCGCCCACTTTCTCTTACACAAACTATCTAAAACTTCATCGTCTCTTGCTCCTACTCTGGAGTTCAGCACCTCCCTCCTTGGATTCTGCACAACCTTCCCTCACATTAAGGAGAGAAAACCAGTTTGCTGTAGTAGTTCAGGCATCAGGGTAGAAACCAGGAGACAGTGAGTTCTAGTTCCCCTTTAGGTGGAAAATCTGCTGGGTGACCTTGGGCCAGTCCCTATCCCAGTGGTGGCGAACCTATGGCACGCGTGCCAGAGGCGGCACTCAGAGCCCTCTCTGTGGGCACATGCGCCATGCCCCAGAGATGGCAACCATCCCTCTTCAACCAGCTGCCTGCTAACTCGCCGAGGTCCCACATGGCCGGATGCATCCCAGCACCCATGTGCTCACTGGCCTCTGTGTGCAGGGGCCAATGGTGTCAGGCAGCAGCCGCCCCGGCCCCTGCCTCGCCTTGCCCTGTGACAATGGCACCCCCGCCCTGCCTCGCCTTGCCTCGCCTCGCCCCCCAGGACGAGCCTCCTGCCCACCGCCCCACCTGCCAGAGACCCCTGGATCTCTCCCAACCCTGCCCGGCCCCCACAGGCGTCCCTCCCCATGAGCAACATCAAGGTGATCATGCCCACCTTGGCCACACCCATCCAATCTGCCATGACCACCACAGCCACGCCCACCCAGTGGGCCACGCCCACCTGGCACCCGGCGATAAATAAGTGGGTTTTGGGTTGCAGTTTGGGCGCTCAGTCTCTAAAAGGTTCGCCATCACTGCCCTGTCCCTTAGCTCCAGGAAGGAGGCAATGGCCAAACACTTCTGAATTCTTGGCAATAAAACTGCAGGGACATGTCCGGGCGGTGGCCAGGAAAACTGTCTTGAAAACCCCCTAAAAACTGTGGAGATCACCTCTCATCTCCTTCCTTTATCATCCTTTAGGGGGGAAAAAGGAGAAATGCCTTTAATTATGGCTCCTTAAAAGTAAAACAGCACCTTTAAATACTGGAGGTTAAATAAACTATAGCTGAACGCTGTCCTAGAGGGACACGCATTCTTAACTTCGCAGAATAAGTTAAACTATTTATGTAACCTTTCTTTGAAATGCTCACATCCACTTCTGTTAACTGGTGTCCACTAATCCTGTCCGTGTATTTTACAAACAGGGTTTCCTTCTGTTTTTTTTTTCTCTAATTTTTTTCATCTAGAGCCTCTTTCTCCCCCCCCCCTCTTTGTTTAAACAAAGTCTATTGAAAGCTGTTACAACTCATCCAACAGGTATTTAGCAACCGTCAACTTAAAGTCCCTTCTGTTTTGCCTAAAGGAGGAGGAGGAGGAAGCCATAGTGTGGGGTGCGAAAATATTCCCAGGTGAAAAGTTAATTGTAGAAAGGGAACGTGTTGCTTCATCTCCAAGTTTCTCTTTGTTCGGGGCCCATCACAACGCAAGTTAGGATAAACAGAACATAGTTCTTTGTGGTCACAGGTGAAGGCTGAAATGGAATTTAAGCGTCTTTGGGTGTACAAACATGTCGATTGTAGCAGAGATAAATAGGCAGTTCCAGTTGACCAGAATTGCCAATCGTTGGAACATTTCTTTTAAAAAAAAATAAATCTAGAAAGAAAGAAAGAACATCAAGAACTGAGACTTACAAAGAAAAAGGAACGATGTTTGCTTATGAAATGTTAAATGTTGTACGATTGGGTTCAAGCTGTGCTCTTGGCAACGTCAAATATTGAACTTGGTTGTTCTCAAACCGTCTTGGGAATTTTTAACCTGTTGTATCACTGTAAAGTAGAGAAAGACGGTTTGGTTTAGTAGTTAAGGCACTGGGCTAGTAAGCAGGAGATCGTGAGTTCTAATCCCGCCTTAGCCATGAAAGCCAGCTGGGTGATCTTGGGCCAATCACCAGCAGACTGAGAGTTCTAGTCTTGCCTTAGCCATGAAAGCCAGCTAGGTGACTTTGGGCCAATCACCAAGAGACAGAGAGTTCTAGTCTCGCCTTAGTCATGAAAGCCAGCTAGGTGATTTGGGCCAGTCACCAGGAGACTGTGAGTTCTAGTCCCACCTTAGACATGAAAGCCAGTTGGGTGATCTTGGGCCAATCACCACCAGACTGAGAGTTCTAGTCCCACCTTAGCCATGAAAGCCAGCTAGATGACTTTGGGCCAATCACCAGGTGATTGAGAGTTCTACTCCCGCCTTAGTCATGAAAGCCATCTAGGTGACTTTGGGCCAATCACTAAGAGACAGAGACTTCTAGTCCCGCCTTAGTCATGAAAGCCAGCTAGGTGATTTGGGCCAATCACCAGGTGATTGAGAGTTCTACTCCCGCCTTAGTCATGAAAGCCATCTAGGTGACTTTGGGCCAATCACTAAGAGACAGAGACTTCTAGTCCTGCCTTAGTCATGAAAGCCATCTAGGTGACTTTGGGCCAATCACTAAGAGACAGAGACTTCTAGTCCCGCCTTAGTCATGAAAGCCAGCTAGGTGATTTGGGCCAGTCACCAGGAGACTGTGAGTTCTAGTCCCACCTTAGACATGAAAACCAACTGGGTGACTGTGGGCCAATCACCAGTCAATTCTGAAGAAGCTTCTTGGATGGGAAGCGAAACGTTTTCAAAGAAAAATCCAAGAAGGGCCAGTTGCCTTTTGGAAAAGCACCTTTGGGACACCTGGAGAAATAGCCCAGCAGAGTTCAGACTGATCAATATTTGGGGGTGGACAGTACTCCGTTTTATAGGAAAGTTAAAGGAAAAAAAAAAAATCCATTAGAAATCTATGCAAACCATTTTTCTACGCTTCTTAAAGAGGTGTCCACATCATTACCACGACCTGAACTCGATTGAAAAGGAGACTGTTATAAACCACGTTGTCAATCTCTTTCAAAAAAAATATGTCTTTTTTTTAACAGGTGGAATTTGAATGGTTGCGGCAGTTCTGGTTCCAGGGGAAACGGTACAGAAAGTGTACTGACTGGTGGGACAAGCCCATGGCAGACCTGGAAGAACTTTGGAGACAAATGGAGCTCATGGTATGTTCTTCTCAAGGCCTTCTTAGGCTCTTAGGACTGTGCCCTGGACTTCTCTTTACCATTCCTTCCAAATGATTAAATGGCAGGGATGAGCCATCTCTAACCACGTGGCCTCCAATCAGGCCTAAAGCTCAGCCTTGAAATTCAGCAGCCCATAAGCTAATTCTCCCATTTTTTTGCCCTTCAGAATAAGAGGTGAAATAGTCAACTGAAGCTTCTTTGAAAGAACCATGGCAGTGATACAAAACCTCTAACCCAGCCTCTCACAGGCTGATTTCCACCACTAAGCAGTCTCCATGCCAATGTTTTATTCTGGGTTGTGTTTTTTTTTTAAAAAATTTCTGACTTGGATAATAACAAAATCGTCTGTTCCTTTGGTACTGTATCAAAGAATTAGGAAGGTACCTTATTTGAAAAGTCATAAGGGAGGCCCTTGACTCTGGCCTGGGAGGACATCCTGAATGACTTGCTGGGTTAGAAGGACCTCTGCCACATCTCCACGGGGAGGCTGAATTGACCCCATGGAAAATACGCTACACCAATGATCTGATTTCATTGGAGGCCATCTTTGGCTTCTCTGGGGAGTTGAAAGAGACTTTAGAGAGCATCTCGTCCAACCAGAAGTTGTGGGTGCTCCATCACTGGAGGTTTTTAAGGAGAGACTGGACAACCCTTTGTCTGAAATGGTATAGGGTTTTCTGCCTGAGCAGGGGGTTGGACTAGAAGACCTCCAAGGTCTCTTTCAACTGTTATTCTATTCCATCCCATAATTCTATTCTATTCTATTCTATTCTACTCCATCCCATAATTCTATTCTATTCCATCCCATAATTCTATTCTATTCTATTCCATCCCATAATTCTATTCTATTCTATTCTATTCTATTCTATTCTATTCTATTCTATTCTATTATTTGATTCCTCTTCTCCTCTCTTCTCTTCTCTTCTCTTCTCTTCTCTTCTCTTCTCTTCTCTTCTCTTCTCTTCTCTTCTCTTCCATTCCATTCCATTCCATTCCATTCCATTCCATTCCATTCCATTCCATTCCATTCCATTATGTATTCTATCATTATTCTATTCCCTTCTATTCCATTCTATTGCTTAACTTCCTGTGAAATTTGAAACTTAGGATGGGTAAACCTCTTTCTCTCTACCTCGAGTTGTCATTGCCAGAATGGCCCCAATCCTAAGAAGAGCAACTACAGAAGGCATCGTTCACAAGTTGGTCCCTTTCTGCAGCCCACTTGAGACCCCATCCATTCATGCCACGCTGGGTTCAATGGAATGCGATTCGGGAAGGCAGCTGGGTTCAATGGAATGCGATTCGGGAAGGCAGCTGCATCAATCATGTCCACACCTGTTGCGATTCAAGTTTCGCATTTACAGCCGGTTGCAGCATCCCATGGTCCCGTGATCGCAACCGGTGATCTTCTCAGCTGGTTTCCCACCAGCAACATCAAACAGGGAAGCCAGATTTGCTTAAAGATCACGCAGTTCATTGAACAGCCTTGCGATTCACTTAATGAGGACCGTGGCAAAAGTTGTAAAATCAAGTCCGGTCACATGAGGACTTGTTTAACAACTGCATCGTTTAGCGACTATCTGTACCCAGATTCTGCTTCGGGTGAAAACCAAGGGCCCCTGTGTGTGTTGTCAGTTTATCTTTGAAAGGACCAGGGCAGAGCATAGAACAAATTTTTCAGAGAGTCAGCTGTCAAAAAGTTCAGAAAACACTTTTCCAAGGGTTCTGCCCCCCCCCCCCCCCCCCCTCTCTCTCTCTCTCTCTCTTCCCCCTCCTCTCTCTCTCTTTCTCTCTCTCTCTCTTTCCCCCTCTCTCCTCTCTCTCTTTTTCTCTCTCTCTCTCTCTCCTTTTCTCTCTCTCTCCCCTCTCTCTTTTTCTCTCTCTCTTTCCCCCCTCTCTCTCTTTCTTTCTTTCTTTCTCTCTCTTTCCCCTCTCTCCTCTCTCTCTTTCTTTCTCTCTTTCCCCTCTCTCTCCTCTCTCTCTCTCTCTCTTTCTTTCTTTCTCTCTCTCTTTCCCCCTCTCTCTTTCTCTCTCTCTCTCTCTCTTTCTCTCTCTTTCCCCTCTCTCCTCTCTCTCTTTTTTCTCTCTCTTCCCCCCTCTCTCTCCCCCTCCCCCCCCCCCCTCTCTCTCTCTCTCTCTCTTCCCCCTCCTCTCTCTCTCTTTCTCTCTCTCTCTCTTTCCCCCTCTCTCCTCTCTCTCTTTTTCTCTCTCTCTCTCTCTCCTTTTCTCTCTCTCTCCCCTCTCTCTTTTTCTCTCTCTCTTTCCCCCCTCTCTCTCTTTCTTNGGGAAGGGGTGGCAATTCTGCAGCTGTTAGAAAAGCACAGGAATTGTTCCTTTCTCTCTGGTTTTACTCTGTATGAGATCATTCATCAGCCTTCTTTTTAGGTCTCCTCGCAGGCATTTAGCCTCCAGAATGGCAAGGCCTCAGGGTGCTGCTATAGGTTAACAGATGAATTATAGCACATCTAAAGGTAGAACAGAGGGTTTTTTTTACAAGATTCTTAACATAACTGCATCCCCAGAAGCATTTCAGGGTATCTTCTTGGTTCTTTTTCTTGTGACCCCAAAATACGGAAGGAAGGAAGGAAGGAAGGAAGGAAGGAAGGAAGGAAGGAAGGAAGGAAGGAAGGAAGGAAGGAAGGAAGGATGAAGGGAAGGGAAGGGAAGGGAAGGGAAGGGAAGGGAAGGAAGGAAAGAAATAAAGGAGGGGGAGGGAGGAAGCAAGGAAGGGAGGAAACGGAGGGAGGGCAAAGGGAAGGATGAAGAGAAGGAAAAGGAAAGAAGGAAGGAAGGAGTACAGGGAGGAAGAATAAAGTGAAGGGAAGGAAGGGAGGAAACGAAGGGAGGGAGGGAGGGCAAAAGGAAGGAAGGAAGGAAGGAAGGTCTTCAGTGACCTCTTCCAGCTTCAGATCTTCTCCAGCTACCTTAGGGCGACACCCTGCAGCACCCCGAACTCTGAGTATTCTGGAAGTTATATCCTCGCACATCTGGATGGCGCAGAATTGAGGAAGCTGCTCTGGAGGCTTTGATCTCTAAGCCTAGTTTCATCAAAGAGGCAGTATAAATCACCCTCAGCTGCCCACCTGGCTTTAGTTGACTGGGAAATGTTAAGTAGGACTGGATTCTTGGCAAAAAGGATGAATCTGAGAACAGATTTTCAGGCCCAGGATGTGAAGTTTTTTTTAGAGTGTACAAATTACTTTAGGAGGTAGTTTGGCTGTTTGCTGATCCAGAGAGCCTTGGATTTCAGATTTTGGTTATTAAAAAAAAAAAAAAAAAAGAACAGCCCCTGATTTTCTTTCAGGTAAGTGTGCTTCTGTGATTCACTCCCACGGTGACCCGTGGCCTAAAACTGTGTCTCTCTAGAGGACTTTCCAAATGAATAAAAGCTTCATCATTAGAGTCTGTGGGTTGCTTTTTCTCTTTCTGGATCTTTCTTGATCTGGTGCCTTCTTAAATGTATTGACTGAGGACGAGAGGAGCTGCAGTTTATCACTGGCCCACTTGATTGAGGAAAGCTGTAGTAGTTATTGCTGGTTGCTTGTAAAACCAGGAAATTGTGATCCTCTGCACTGCTCAACTGAGCAGTGAAAAGAAGATTGATACTTTTCTGTATCTCTCCCACAGCCACAGTGTTCCTATTCCCCCACTCCCACCAACACTGACAGGGCAAATCACTTGTATATAAATCGAGAGCAACTCCACTCCCTTCTAACACTGATGATACCTAGTAGGGTCATGAAATGTCTGCAAAGAAACAACCAAGCTCAGAGAGCATGAAGGACCCCCCCCCTCCTCCACAAACCCCAATTCCCTTCTAACACTGATGATGTTACTTAGTTGGGTAATGAAATGTCTGCAAGGAAACAACCAAACTCAGAGAGCACCAAGGACCTCACAGTCCTCCTCCTCCTTCTCCCTCCCCCCTCGCCACAAACCCCAATTCCCTTCTAGCACTGATGATGTTACTTAGTTGGGTCATAAAACGTGCTAGAAAACAAAGTGGGTGGTGGGCGTAGGAAACTAGATGCAAAATTTCTAGGGGAAAAGCATAGAATGAATGACTTTTTTTGTTAGGGTTAATTCCTGGCATATATTTTTGTTTCTTTTTTCCCCATGGAAATCAAGACCAATAATAGCAATAGCCCTTAGACTTATATACCGCTTCACAGTGCTTTTACAGCCCTCTCTAAGCGGTTTACAGAGTCAGCCTATTGCCCCCTCCCAACAATCTGGGTCCTCATTTTACCGACCTCGGAAGGATGGAAAGCTGAGTCAACCCTTGAGCCAGTCAGGATCGAACTCCTGGAGTGAGCAGTAAGTTAGCCTGCAGTACTGCATCCTAACCACTGCTCCACCACAGCTCATAATGTGTTTAAATAATGTGCTTATGGTTGGAAATTACGTAATAAGCATCACTGGAGAGTTGGGGGGGAAAAAGCTTGCAACCAACTCACCGTGTCTTCACCTAAGGCTACTTGAAGGTGTTCAACTAAGCTGTTTCTACCTATCCACACCAGGTGTGGTGGCTCTACCTTTAGGCAGGTAGATGCTGGAATGATGTGCTCACCACACCAACTCCTTTACGCTAATCTTAGAAGACGCTGTCTCATCGAAAGTCTGGAAGCAAAGTTCAACCACCAGCTTGTTTGCATCCCGCATGCAAAATAGGACACGTTGCTTGTTCGCTGAGATTGACTTGGATTCTGAAATCAGCACAGGCTGCCAAGGTGTTCCCAGCGCCAACAGTTAGGCTGCTGCTGCTGCCAAGCGCATCGGTGTCTAAGGCTAACGTGTGTTTCCTGCGCATTGCAACTCAGCCGGTGGTCCTGCTGGCCTGGAAGAGAGGAAGCACACAGATCACTACCTAGGGTGGCATTTAATAAGCCAAGGGCCTTTAAATAATTAACCGAGGACCGACACCACCCTTGGCTCACCAAATGTCAGCCAAACAGCTCCGTGGCCTTTCTCCCGTGCCTTATTGACCGTCGCTCTTAAAGCGCGCCTTTCATAACGGCTTAAAGGGCGAATGGAGAGGGGTGGGTGTGACACGGAGGTAGAATCAGTGCTGCAAGCAGTGGAAGATCAAGGCCAAAATAAAAATAAAATTTGTGCGCGTTTGTACATCGTTCTGCTTTGACAGCGCATACTGCGATGGCTGCCGTTTTTGCCTTAAATGGATTTAATAATAATAATAATGATAAAATTGAAAGTGACCTTGGAGGTCATCTAGTCCAACCCCCTGCTCAGGCAGGAAACCCTATACCATTTCGGACAAATGGCTGTCCAGTTTCTTCTTAAAAACTTCCAGTGTTGGCGCATTCACCGCTTCTGGAGGCAGGTTGTTCCACTGGTTAATTGTTCTCACTGTCAGGAAGTTTCTCCTTAGTTCTCGGTTCCTTCTCTCCTTGATTAGTTTCCACCCGTTGCTTCTTGTCCTGCCTTCAGGCGCCTTGGAGAATAGCCTAACTCCCTCTTCTTTGTGGCAGCCTCTGAGATACTGGAACCCTGCTATCATGTCTCCCCTCGTCCTTCTCTTCGTTAAACTAGACATACCCAATTCCAGCAACTGTTCCTTATATGTTTTAGCCTCCACTCCTCTAATCATCTTTGATGCTCTTCTCTGTACTCTTTCTAGAGTCTCAGCATCTTTTTTACATCGTGGTGACCAAAACTGGATGCAGTATTCCAAGTGTGGCCTTACCAAGGCATTGTAAAGTGGTATTAATACTTCACGTGATCTTGATTCTATTCCTCTGTTAATGCAGCCCAGCACTGTGTTGGCCTTTTTGGCAGCTGCAGCACACTGCTGACTCATATTTAAGTGATTGTCCACTAGAACTCCGAGATCCCTCTCACAGTTACTACTATTGAGCAAGGTACCCCCTATTTTTTCCATTGCAACAATTAAAAAAAGTAAAAATTAGCACACACTCTGGGAACTATTAAGGAGGAGCTGTCTTCGCCCACTTTCTCTTACAAAAATATCTAAAACCTCATCGTCTCTTGCTCCTGCTCTGGAGTTCAGCCCCTCCCTCCTTGGATTCTGGACAATCTTCCCTCACATTAAGGAGAGAAAACCAGTTTGATGTAGTAGTTCAGGCACCAGGGTAGAAACCAGGAGACGGTGAGTTCTAGTTCCCCTTTAGGTGGAAAATCTGCTGGGTGACCTTGGGCCAGTCCCTATCCCTTAGCTCCAGGAAGGAGGCAATGGCCAAACACTTCTGAATTCTTGGCAATAAAACTGCAGGGACATGTCCGGGCGGTGGCCAGGAATCAAAAACTGTCTTGAAAACCCCCTTAAAAACTGTGGAGATCACCTCTTGTCTCCTTCCTTTATCATCCCTTAGGGGAAAAAAGGGAGAAATGCCTTTAATTATGGCTCCTTAAAAGTAAAAACAGCACCTTTAAATATTGGAGGTTAAATAAACTATAGCTGAACGCTGTCCTAGAGGGACACGCATTCTTAACTTCGTAGAATAAGTTAAACTATTTATGTAACCTTTCTTTGAAATGCTCACATCCACTTCTGTTAACCGGTGTCCACTAATCCTGTCCGTGTATTTTACAAACAGGGTTTCCTTCTGGTTTTTTTTTTCTCTAATTTTTTGCATCTAGAGCCTCTTCCCCCCCCCCTCTTTGTTTAAACAAAGTCTATTGAAAGCTGTTACAACTCATCCAACAGGTATTTAGCAACCGTCAACTTAAAGTCCCTTCTGTTTTGCCTAAAGGAGGAGGAGGAGGAAGCCATAGTGTGGGGTGCGAAAATATTCCCAGGTGAAAAGTTAATTGTAGAAAGGGAACGTGTTGCTTCATCTCCAAGTTTCTCTTTGTTCGGGGCCCATCACAACGCAAGTTAGGATAAACAGAACATAGTTCTTTGTGGTCACAGGTGAAGGCTGAAATGGAATTTAAGCGTCTTTGGGTGTACAAACATGTCGATTGTAGCAGAGATAAATAGGCAGTTCCAGTTGACCAGAATTGCCAATCGTTGGAACATTTCTTTTAAAAAAAAAATCTAGAAAGAAAGAAAGAACGTCAAGAACTGAGACTTACAAAGAAAAAGGAACGATGTTTGCTTATGAAATGTTAAATGTTGTACGATTGGGTTCAAGCTGTGCTCTTGGCAACGTAAAATATTGAACTTGGTTGTTCTCAAACCGTCTTGGGAATTTTTAACCTGTTGTATCACTGTAAAGTAGAGAAAGACAGTTTGGTTTAGTAGTTAAGGCACCGGGCTAGTAAGCAGGAGATCGTGAGTTCTAGTCCTGCCTTAGCCATGAAAGCCAGCTGGGTGATCTTGGGCCAATCACCAGCAGACTGAGAGTTCTAGTTCCACCTTAGACATGAAAGCCAGCTAGGTGTCTTTGGGCCAATCACCAGGTGATTGAGAGTTCTAGTCCCGCCTTAGTCATGAAAGCCATCTAGGTGACTTTGGGCCAATCACCAAGACACAGAGAGTTTTAGTCCCGCCTTAGTCATGAAAGCCAGCTAGGTGATTTGGGCCAGTCGCCAGGAGACTGTTCTAGTCCCACCTTAGACATGAAAGCCAGCTGGGTGATCTTGGGCCAATCACCACCAGACTGGGAGTTCTAGTTCCACCTTAGACATGAAAGCCAGCTAGGTGTCTTTGGGCCAATCACCAGGTGATTGAGAGTTCTAGTCCCGCCTTAGCCATGAAAGCCAGCTAGGTGACTTTGGGCCAATCACCAGGTGATTGAGAGTTCTAGTCCCGCCTTAGTCATGAAAGCCATCTAGGTGACTTTGGACCAATCACCAAGAGACGGAGAGTTCTAGTCCCGCCTTAGTCATGAAAGCCAGCTAGGTGATTTGGACCAATCACCAGGAGACTGTGAGTTCTAGTCCCACCTTAGCCATGAAAGCCTTCTAGGTGACTTTGGGCCAATCACCAGGTGATTGAGAGTTCTACTCCCGCCTTAGTCATGAAAGCCATCTAGGTGACTTTGGGCCAATCTCCAAGAGACAGAGAGTTCTAGTCCCGCCTTAGTCATGAAAGCCATCTAGGTGACTTTGGGCCAGTCACCAGGAGACTGTGAGTTCTAGTTCCACCTTAGACATGAAAACCAACTGGGTGACTGTGGGCCAATCACCAGTCAATTCTGAAGAAGCTTCTTGGATGGGAAGCGAAACGTTTTCAAAGAAAAATCCAAGAAGGGCCAGTTGCCTTTTGGAAAAGCACCTTTGGGACACTTGGAGAAATAGCCCAGCAGAGTTCAGACTGATCAGTATTTGGGGGTGGACAGTACTCCGTTTTATAGGGAAGTTAAAGGGGGAAAAAAAATCCATTAGAAATCTATGCAAACCATTTTTCTACGCTTCTTAAAGAGGTGTCCACATCATTACCACGACCTGAACTCGATTGAAAAGGAGACTGTTATAAACCACGTTGTCAATCCCTTTCGAAAAAAGATGTCTTTTTTTTAACAGGTGGAATTTGAATGGTTGCGGCAGTTCTGGTTCCAGGGGAAACGGTACAGAAGGTGTACTGACTGGTGGGACAAGCCCATGGCAGACCTGGAAGAACTTTGGAGACAAATGGAGCTCATGGTATGTTCTTCTCAAGGCCTTCTTAGGCTCTTAGGACTGTGCCCTGGACTTCTCTTTACCGTTCCTTCCAAATGATTAAATGGCAGGGATGAGCCATCTCTAACCACGTGGCCTCCAATCAGGCCTAAAAAAACTCAGCCTTGAAATTCAGCGGCCCATAAGCTAATTCTCCCATTTTTTTGCCCTTCAGAATAAGAGGTGAAATAGTCAACTGAAGCTTCTTTGAAAGAACCATGGCAGTGATACAAAACCTCTAACCCAGCCTCTCACAGGCTGATTTCCACCACTAAGCAGTCTCCATGCCAATGTTTTATTCTGGTTTTTTTTTTTAAAAAAAAATTCTGACTTGGATAATAAGAAAATCGTCTGTTCCTTTGGTACTGTATCAAAGAATTAGGAAGGTACCTTATTTGAAAAGTCATAAGGGAGGCCCTTGACTCTGGCCTGGGAGGACATCCTGAATGACTTGCTGGGTTAGAAGGACCTCTGCCACATCTCCACGGGGAGGCTGAATTGGCCCCATGGAAAATACGCTACACCAATGATCTGATTTCATCGGAGGCCATCTTTGGCCTCTCTGGGGAGTTGAAAGAGACTTTAGAGAGCATCTCGTCCAACCAGAAGTTGTGGGTGCTCCATCACTGGAGGTTTTTAAGGAGAGACTGGACAACCCTTTGTCTGAAATGATGTAGGGCTTCCTGCCTGAGCAGGAGGTTGAACTAGAAGACCTCCAAGGTCCCTTCCAACTCTGTTATTCTATTCTTTCCCATATCTATTCTATTCTATTCTATTCTATTCTATTCTATTCTATTCTATTCTATTCTATTCTATTCTATTCCTTATTCTCTATTCTATTCTATTATGCTTCTACTCTATTCCTCTTCTCTTCTCTTCTCTTCTCTTCTCTTCTCTTCCATTCTATTCTATTCTATTCTATTCCTTATTCTCTATTCTATTCTATTCTATTCTATTCTATTATGCTTCTACTCTATTCCTCTTCTCTTCTCTTCTCTTCCCTTCCTTTCCATTCCATTCCATTCCATTCTATTCTATTCTATTCTATTCTATTCTATTCTATTCTATTCTATTCTATTCTATTCTATTCTATTCTATAGCTTAACTTCCTGTGAAATTTGAAACTTAGGATGGGCAAACCTCTTTCTCTCTACCTCGAGTTGTCATTGCCAGAATGGCCCCAATCCTAAGAAGAGCAACTACAGAAGGCATCGTTCACAAGTTGGTCCCTTTCTGCAGCCCACTTGAGACCCCATCCATTCATGGCACGTTGGGTTCAATGGAATGCGATTCGGGAAGGCAGCTGCTTCCCAGTGTCCATCAATCATGTCCACACCTGTTGCGATTCAAGTTTCGCATTTACAGCCGGTTGCAGCGTCCCATGGTCCCGTGATCGCGACCGGTGATCTTCTCAGCTGGTTTCCCATCAGCAACATCAAACAGGGAAGCCAGATTTGCTTAAAGATCACGCAGTTCATTGAACAGCCTTGCGATTCACTTAATGATGACCGTGGCAAAAGTTGTAAAATCAAGTCCGGTCACATGAGAACTTGTTTAACAATTGCATCGTTTAGCGACTCTCTGTACCTAGATTCTGCTTCGGGTGAAAACCAAGGGCCCCTGTGTGTATTGTCAATTTTTGCCCTCTGCTCCTTCCTAAAGATCTTTGAGAGCACAAAGGCAGTGCATAGAACAAATTTTTCAGAGAGGCAGCTGTCAAAAAGTTTGGAAAACTGACGGTAACAACGCCGAATGTTTAGGACAGGGGTCTGCAACCTTAAACACTCAAAGAGCCACTTGGACACGTTTCCCAGAGAAAAGAAAACACTGGGAGCCGCAAAGAGTTTAATTAAAAAGAAATAGAAGCTGCTGTGCATGAGTTCTCTCTCTCTCTCTCTCTCTTTCCTCTCCCTCCCTCTCTCTCTTTCCTCTCACTCCCTCTCTTTCTCTCTCTCTCTTTCCTCTCACTTTCTTTCTTCTCTCTCTCCCTCTCTCTTTTTCTCCCTCTCTCCTCTCTCTCTCTCTCTCTCTCTCTCTCTCTCTTTTCTCTCTCTCTTTCTCCCTCTCTCCTTCTCTCTCTCTCCCTCTCTCTTTCTCTCTCTCTCTCTCTCTTTCCTCTCCCTCTCTTTCTTTCTCTCTCTTTCCTCTCCCTCTCTCTCTTTCTCTTTCCTCTCCCTCTCTCTCTCTTTCTCTTTCTTCTCCCTCTCTCTTTCTCTCCCTCCCTCCCTCTCTTTCTCTCTCTCTCTCTCTCTCTCTTCCCCTCTCTCTCCTTTCTCTCTCTCTCTTTCTCTCTTTCCCCCCTCTCTCTCCCCTCTCTTTCTCTCTTTCCCTCTCCCTCTCTCCTTTCTCTCTCTCTCTTTCTTTTTCTTTCTCTCTTTCCCCCTCTCTCTCCCCTCTCTTTCTCTCTCTCTTCCCCCCTCTTTCTCTCTCTCTTTCCCCTCGCTCTCCTTTCTCTCTCTCTCTCTCTCTCTCTCTCTCTCTCTCTCTCTCTCTCTCTCTCTCTCTCTCTCTCTCTCTCTCTCT